ATTTTTTAATTTAAATTTTACCTTCATTTACACGTGGCTGAGAACAGAAGTCATTCCCCACAGCATTCTTGGGAATATTGGGGAATATGGTACAGACATGCCCATCTTGTCTGAACCTACTGCTGTCTCAAAAGCTGGCAATGACTTTGTGCATAACCTATCCCCTCCAGTGGTCAAGAAACTAATAGTCCTAGGCTGGCGCCACCCCACACCAGAAAAGGCACTCGCTATGGCTGTTCAGGTAGATACCATTCTTGGGGGGTGCACTGCAACTTTAACCCACCGCTGTCCAGCAGTAGTGGTCTGGCCCACGTGGTCTCGTCCAGAAGAAAACACAGCAAGAGCGAAGACATCCATGCCTGCATTGCCCCAGGTTGAAGGACAGTTCTAGAAAGGAGGGTGAGGCCCCCAAGCTCCCTAGACCAGTGTTTCTCAAACGTTTTAGTGCTACTGTCCAATTTATGCCTTGAAGTATTTTAATTTTGAGGCAACATGCGAGGACTAGCTTGTCTCAAAGTGTCCAGTTGATCTGGGACCAGGTGGCTACTGTAAAGCAGCCTCCAGAGTGCTATAAACAACAAAATGGGATAACAGTTACTTCCTTATTTTAAACAACTTTGAATTATAACCTTTGCATTTATAAAATGAAAAGGGACTGAGTGAGCTTTAGTTTTATTTTGATCAACTAACCAATTTATATAATAATTTATAGGACAAATCTATTTATCCTACTTTAGCTATTTATGTTTATTTACCTAATTTCTTGATTCCACGATATCACAAAGATGTTTTTTCAAAGATTGCAAGGAAAAACGTTGTGAATCATGATTGTCATGATTCCAGACACCCATCCCTGTCTGTGTAAAGAAATACCTCCAATTTTCACTCCAGAACGCAACACCTAATTTCCACTTGTGTACTTGGGTACTTCCTCCATTGTGAGATCTTTTAAGTTGACTTTATTATGAGAACACCCGGCATTCAGGGATTTGGTTGAATCAAATCTCCTGGTGATTTCCAAAATTGTAAAAGTTTAATTACCTTTTATCTTTTTGTGTATGATGTACCTTCTGTACCTAAATGATGCTGGTCTCTGCTTTTCAAAGGTTGACAGTGTTCTTCTGTAGGGTGATGGCCGAACATTCTAAATTTACTGTAGGTTTACTAATGCATAAAATACATGTACTTTTACCAAACCTCAAATCCCTTACATTCTGCAGTTTTTTATGTGTATCCAAACTGCTTGTTGGCCATTTATTATTGCTCACCTACTGTACTTTATCTTTCCATACGTTGCTACTATTTAAAAATATTCATATTAAATTTCATATTAAGAAATCAAATATGCATCATAGGATAAAAATCTTGATTAACTAGTAAATATTGAGTAGTATTAGGCTGTACAGATTACTTGATGATCTTTTCATTCCTGTTAAATGAAATAAATGTTGGAAACCAACAGCTAGTATAATTAAATCCACTAGATGGAGACAAATAAGATACTGTATACAGAACATCAAAATACATACTGTGTCACTTATAATTCACAGAGTTTCTACCAGGAACATTATATTTTTTGTAAGAGGGGCGCTGCATTTTATTGAACATATCTGATTTTAAAACTTTATCGTACTTATTTATATTTAAAATCAACAGTGTTGATCAACAGGGTACCTAATGTGAAAGTTACCATCACTGGTTCTCAGTCCTGGACCTGGAAGGAAACTGTCTTCTGACTTTTGCTCCATTTGAGTCCTTACAGTAATTACAATCTAACTGATTTTAATTTTCTAATTAAACTTGCCTTCTGCTCATTGAATGTTGAACGGGGTTTGCACTTAGTACTAATTATTCAGTTTCAAAACTGTGCTCCTTCTGGGGTGTTAAGAAAATTATACAGTTGAACTTATGTGAGAGGGAAAACACCCGCTAACTGTTGGAATGTGTGTCTGATACATCTGTATCTTTCTTAATAAACTGATTGCATACTAAAAGTTGTTAGAAATAAGTGAAATTCTTGTTCAATGTCAGTTTAGGAGAGCCTGCATAAAGCTCTGGGTGATCAAGTTGCAAATTATATACAGTACTTCTGTGAAGGTCTTTTGAAACTTACTCCTGAATGAAGTGAAAAAGTCTGAACAAACAAGCAGATCAGTTACAGGCACCAACTAGCACTGGTGATTCAGGGCCCTGCTACAATGAAAAACAGCAGGCACAGGGGTCCCACAGGACCAAGACTAAGAACCACTGTGCCACCATTGGAAGTAAAACAAGCTGTACATCTAGATATGCATGCTTTGCAACAGGTTCCCGATGCTGTCTTGTAGGATTCTGTTCCATTCCTCTCTCATAGTTCCAAGAGAAGCAAGTATCTGTTCTCTCGTCTCAGATGGTACATGTCATCCCAGCTCATCCTACATTTGTTCAGTGTCTGCACTGAACGAGTCTGTTCCACAGGGACATGAGGACATGTGTTGCCCTGTGTGAATGTTGCAGGGTTTGGTCCCAGCTAGACACTCCTGCCCAGGCCATCTCACTTGGCCCTTCACCACATGATAATTATTTTGTGGTCTCCTGGATTGGGCCTGTCATGAATGTACTGTATTTGGCTGTAACATCATGCCAAATTAGACATGGTTGGCACCTAAAATAAGTCATCAAGCAGTCTAATGAGAAGAAACCATGAGCTGTTCTTCCACAAGAGGTAAGATAGTTTCCCCAAAGCCAATTTAATTTATAATTATTTCCTACTTCTTGATCTCTTTTCATTTTTTTTGGCTTTCGATGCTTTAAGGAAATTAATTTAATGCGGGCTTTCATTATGTCACCAAAAGGGAGACTCTGATGCTTTGATATAGCATCTCCAACTAGAACAGCTTAACTTAACTTTGTACAAAAATCAGTGCACTTTATTTTCTATTTTCATTAGCACTGCCAGAAAACATTTGGTAGAAGTTGGTTACAGGCTACACTTCAATTTCCTGCTTTTAACGAGTCTGCCATGTAAAGCATGAAGTATTGAGAATAGGAGCTGCACTCTGTTTCAATAGGTCCCAAAGCATTCATTACCAGAGTTTCCATACATCCTAATAGTTTTGGATTTCAAAACCCAGAGACCATCAAAACTAAGCTGGTCAGCAAGATCAATAAAATCAACTGAATGTGTTCAATACACATCCCTTTGAGTAATTCTGAGTGCCAAAATGGAAAAGTAAATTGGTGTAGCTATGTGAAGTACAGGGAGGGACGCAAATCTTCTCTGAAATGTTTAGTGCTTTGGGATCTTTTGGGATAAGCTTGCTGAAAAAATGCCACTAATGTCTCATCTAATTATATTAGTGTTCATATAACAATAAATTAAAAAATGTTCATGGGGCGACTGACCACTGAGGCTGGAACTTATTCTGTTTCTGTTGTTTTAAGTAAACTGCGGGAGTCTCATTCTCTGCCTACTTGGGACATTAGTCCATCGAATTGAACACTGAGAAGACCAGCCTGGAACAACCAGGGCCAGTCAGCTTGCTGAAGGACACGCCTGTTTTTGTCTTTGTTGTCTCCGGCTTTGGTGACAATTTGGCTGTAGTATGTCTGGTTTAAGAAAGAAAGCACAGCCCCCTAAGGTGAAGGTCGAGGTCAAGTCTTGTCCAATGGTGGGTCTCATGTTCCCAGTGGGAATGATTGCTGCAGCAGCTGGGGAAGGATCAGCACAGGCGGCCCCACGTACTGTACCTGGCTGCAGTTTTGGAGTAGTTCAGAGCCGAGGCGCATGGATAACAAGAAACACAGAACCGTGCCCCGGCGCATCCAGCTGGCAGTAATGAACAACGAGAAACCGAGCGGAATGTACTAAGAGGTGGCCATTGCTGACAGGGGAGCCCTGCCCAACGTCCAAGTCCAGCTTCTTTCCAAGAAAACCAGGGGCGGGGTCTCTTGTGAAGGTGGTGGGAAAGACCGAAACAAGTCCCAAGAGGACTAGCTTGCATCTGGTTTCACATCTGTTAAATATTGCTTCTAAACGTTGTGGCAGTCCTAGGCTGTAGTGTGTTACTGGCTTGTGGATATGTTATACTTCAGCAGTATTTGAATATTTTATTGTACAAAATATCATGATCAAGGTTTCCAAAGCAATGTTCACATATGGGACTTGCAACCGCAAAAATTACTTTCTGTAAATGTATATTTTTACTCATTATATAATGCATTATCTACCTGGAGTATTAGTAAAAAACGCATGGGGACCATGCTATTCCATCAGTTTCAAACTGGAAGATAGGATCTTGGCTTGGTGTGAACATGGGATTGAAATGGCTTAATAATGATTAATTTCATCCTAGCGATCTGATATGATTGTTTGTTACATAATAGCCCAGTTTGAACTGTACTGAATTTAGTCCTTCTGTAAAAAAGAATGTATGCATCTTTGCCTGTTTTGAGCAAATGGAATCTTGTGCTACCACCAGTAAAGTTTTAAGTTGGACAATTTAAGCATTTACTTATTATTTACTATAAATTATAACACTTTCAATTGTTATAAATATAGAAATTTAATTACAAGTTGAAAACTGTTGTCCAAATAATACCAAAGTGATTTTTAAAATAAAAGCCTAGCAGATAAAAGTTATTAAAACAGTAAAAGTTACTAAAATAGTAATTTGAAACGTTAACAAGTGATATCCAGACTGAAAATCTATTTAGGTACTGTATTAGTTCAGGTAGGTAGCTGCGTCAGCATGCGTAGGCTGCAAAGGATCAAGTAACAGGTTTATTCCATGCTGAAAAGAGAGGAGAGAAAACACAACGTTTCGGCCGTGGAGCCTTCTTCAGGTGTGTTTTCTTTCTTCTTTTTTTTCAGCATGGAATAAACCTATTACTTGTTCCTATTTAGGTATTAGACTGCACTACAAACTCGTCACTCACAATTAGAGCGGAAGCGGAAACTCAGGGAAGGTTATGAAAACGGTGTATATTTACTACGTCACCGCTCAATGAATCTCTTCCTGTTGGAAGTGAAGCAGAGGAAGTTGGGAGGAGGTACCGGACCCACAGATAATCGCAACTAGGAGCAACGTGAAGTTTTCTCGTAAGTGATTATGTAGTACTATACTGAATTATAAAAAAACGATTAATAATATAGCGTTTTAAATATCTGTTTTACTATTTTAAAATATGTTTTTTTATCTCTATGACTTAAAGAACTGCAAAAGACATTTTTCTTGGCAGGAATACATCATGCATTAGAATTTATTCGTTTTTTTTTAGGCAGGACGTTATTAGATCTTGATCTGGAACAGTGTATAATTATGTCCACAGATTTGTTTAATTCATGACTGACACTATATATACAGTTTTCCAATGTCCTGTATTGCTGGGTGATTTGATAGCGGTGAAATATGGGCGGCCGGCAGTGAAACCTTTTCGCCTGGAAATTTCCTGCAGCACACGCGTTCAGTAAAAGTTGTCTGTGACCGATTTGAAATGGAGAAACAATGTGTCAGGAGCATATTAGTTGTAGAGATTGAGCATAAATAAAAAAACAAAACATATAATCTAATGACATCTATATATTCAAAATATGACACATATAGAAATGAAAAGTCGACCCATTCGCTGTATTAATAAAGGGAATTGGAAGTTTTTTATTTTGCTTGAATGGGGCTGAGTACAAAGGCTAAAGTATACTTTTAGCATAAGATGATCAATGGGAGCGAACAGCATTCAGGACAGATGCATTGTTAAAATACTCATCTTGCTCTGCTACACAAACGGAGGCAATGCCTTGTGTTTTCCGTTACATATCTATCTGTATAACACCTATACTGTGTATAAATACATTTTAGAAGGATTCGTCTTTGAACGGGGCTTTTGTGCTGGGGAGTGATGTCGGTTATATTCAAAATGACACAAGGACTCATTAAGATTTTATGTGTTTATCAGTCAGTGCACTGCCAGTCACGTTATTATTTTTTTCCACCTGAGAATTTTTAATTTGCGATGAAATGGTCTCGATGAGTTTGTGCTCGATTCACATTTTCCTGTCCTTTAGTCATTTTACACATCATAACTAGGATGACAGACTACAGAATGGTGTAACTCCTTTGTAGTGTGCTGTTAGACTGTTAACATTACCAGTTGTGCCTGAAGACTGTAATAACACCGTTTCGACTTCAGAACCGTGGCATTGCCACAACTGTGTGTTCCTCAGAGCCCATGTGTCTGGCTTGATCTTTACGCTTCGTCTCAGCTATAAATGAGCACAAAAAACAATTACCAACTATTTCTTCTTGATAAAATGTTTTTAAATGGTTGTCATGTATACAGTGATAGTACAAGCTATGTTGCCTATATCCAACTGACACCCTCATATATCAGAATATCAGAGATGCATCTATATTAGAACTTACACTGGCCTTATAAGAGGTGTGTGTATATTATTATTTTTTAAGTGTCCCATGGATCAGATATTGGCCAGTAGATCATTAACTTTATAATGTAATGGATAATAAATGTCGTTGTTTTTTTTTTGTTGAACAGAAATAATGCCACAGCAATGGCGTCGTATGCCATGCTCCAGGAAAGGATTGCAGTCGCCAAAGATCTCTTGGAAAGAGTAGAGAGCATCTCTGGCGGGCAGAAGAAAGGCGTGGAAGGCAAAGCGAAGCTGTGCAGCAAGCTGAGGGCCGAGCTGAAGTTTCTTCAGAAGGTGGAAGCGGGTGAAGTGGTCATCAAGGAGTCCCACCTTCAGAGTACGAACCTGACCCACCTCAAGGCCATCGTGGAATCCGCGGAGAGCCTGGAGGACGTCGTGAGCGTGCTGCACGTCTTCACCTACGAAGACCAGGCCGGGGAGAAGCAGACCCTGGTTGTGGATGTGGTGGCGAATGGAGGTCACACTTGGGTGAAGGCCATTGGGCGGAAGGCGGAGGCGCTGCACAATATTTGGCAGGGCAGAGGGCAGTATGGGGACAAAAGCATCGTGAAGCAGGCGGAGAACTTCCTGCAGGCCAGCCGGCAGCAGCCCGTGCAGTACAGTAACCCTCACATCATCTTTGCCTTTTACAACGGCGTCTCCAGCCCCATGGCGGACCGGCTGAGGGAGATGGGGATCTCCGTGCGAGGCGACATCGTGGCCGTGAACTCGGTGGCGGGCGCGGAGGAGGGCGAGGACGCGCTCAGCGACAGCAGCTGCGAAAGCGACGCCGACGGGGACGAGACGGAGGACCTGACACTCACGAGGGTGGACCGGGACACCATCGTGGCCAGTCTGTCCTTCCCCACGGAGGTCAAGGTGGACGTGTGCAACCGAGTCAACCTGGACATTACCACCCTCATCACCTACGTGTCCTCCCTCAGCCACGGAGGCTGCCATTACAAGTTCAAAGAGCAGGTGCTCACGGAGCAGGCAGCCCAGGAGAGGCAGGAGAAGGTGCTCCCGAAGCTGGAGGAGTTCATGAAGGGCAAGGAACTCTTTGCGTGCCATTCAGCCGTGAAAGATTTTCACATCATCCTGGACACGCTGGGGGGGCCTGGTGAGAAAGCCCGTGCAGCCGAGCTACTGCAGAGGATCAAAGTGGTGCCCGACCAGCCCTCAGAACGCACGATGAGGCTGGAGGCCAGCTCGAAGGTCAACCATCGCTCGCTCATGATCTTTGGGACGGGGGACACTTTGAAGGCCATCACTATGACGGCCAATAGCGGCTTTGTCAGGGCTGCGGCCAACCAGGGAGTAAAGTACAGCGTGTTTATCCACCTCCCACGTGCGCTTACTGAGGGCAAGGAGTGGAGAGCTACTCCCGTGTGAACGATAGTCGCAGGTTCTTCAATCCATAAAGAGATCGGTTGTCCGACTATTGCACTGTGGCTGCTCTCATGTTGGGTTGCCCTTATAGTAGCTTGCAAATTACTGTGCGATTTGAAATAGCTTTTTACAGTCAGGAGCAGCAATGAAATTGCCTGTACGTTTGAGTGACACTTGCTAGAAATTGTGGCCAGTGGCAAAAGTCCCCAGAGCAGAGAGAGAATAATGATCGACGTGCGTCTAATTGAATATTTGTGTTGTAGTTTTACAAGAATTGCTTTCCGAACCCAAACGTTTTTTCAGAAAAAGTCATTAAAATGTCTGTATTTCTTGGGTATCTACTAATGAATGAAGCTAGAAAGCTGCAGTCCAGCAGCACAGAAAATCATTTTAAAGATACTATTGTACTTGAAACAAAAGGATACTTATGTACTGTAACTATTTTTGAATGACGGTAATGGACTGTAGTTTTTGTTGACGGTATCAATTTAGGTTCCTCTAATGACGCAGCAATGAATGAAGATTATCGTGCTCTTCCCCAAGTCTATAAGCAAAAATTGCTGGCCTGCTCTGCATCATAATATTTCTTTGCTACAGACTAAATCAGTAGTATTGTTTTTACAATGATACTGTACACTTACAATAATAACCTTACTTATTTTGTTTCCAATATCTGCCTAGAATAATGCTGAGTCAACGTAAGAAATTAAAGAAAGCTACATTTTACTGTTAATTCATTTAACTGAGTGCAAATAATCAGTAAAGTAATATATATATATACCCTAAGACTTTACAAAAAAAAAGGCTGATTGTTAAGCTGATAACTAAAATACCCTGGTAAGCAGGAATGTGTATATATACTATAATCCTGATTGTTTTGGGAGGAGAAAATAATTGTAGTCATTTTTGGGAGTGACCGTTAAACATGAAACAACATTGATGAAATTCAACAAAAAGCTGACCTGCTTTGCCCAGTGAGTTTTCTTTGCTACAGGTTAATGGTAATATAATGCAGCAGTAATGGAATATGTAACACAGCACTTGTTTCCTGTATCATAATTGATGTATTTACAGGTGGGGCTTTTATTACTGGATGATAGTTCTTGAGTTTATTGAATTTCATTGATGTTTTTTTTTCTCCCAAGGTTCCCTCATCTGCTGATGACAATAAAAAATACACACTACAGCTTGAAGCACTTTGGGATTCTCAATATTGAAATGATGCTGCACTTGTAGTCTGTCATTGAGATTTCTTATGTAGTACTGTGGAGACTTTATTTTGTTGGTGCTTTAACATGGATAAGTGTGATGAAAATCAAATGTTTGACGTGAATTGTTATCTGACTGTATGCATCGCATATGCAGGAGTAGAGGTCACAGCTATCTGAATTTTTTTTTTTTAGTACAAGGTACTGTACTTCCACAATGAATCAGGAATATACCTATAATGTACAGACCAGGGTTATGCCATAACTCGTGAACAGTGAGAGTGTTTGTAACTATATCCAGCTAAGATATTTGGGAAGACAGTGATATGGACAACTGTGTTTGCAATCTGTAAAATAATTTAAATATTCAAGCTCTCAAGCCCCCCTAGTGTTCTAATTTACCCATTTAGCCTGAGGTTAATTACAATAAACTATTAACAATCCATCTTTAGCACATCAAAGCTGGTCTTTTCTGTGTTCTATTCATGAAGTTACAGCTTCAGCTAATGTTTGAATTTTGTAACCGGAGAACTGTGTGTACTTGTGCAGCTCAAGTGGAGTTTCCCAAGTGTACAGGTAGGAAATGAAAAGTTTAGTGAGGTTTTGAATAAAACACACTTTGGCAGTGAAGGGACTGAACAGTTTTTAATGATGCAGCTAGACGTATACCCAGGCTTGCCTTGTACAGTTGTGGACAACAGGAAGAAGCTTATAGTTTTAAGGGAAATGAGTGTCAGTGCTTGACTTTAATTGGCATTTTCAGAACATTTACTGCTTTCAACCACAAGATGTCACTAAGTCTGTAATGAACATTTGTTGCAATGGAGAAAAGTGGTAAGTCAGGCATTTTATATTCGAAGTAATAGGTTTATTCCATGCTGAAAAGAGAGAAAGAAAACGTTTCGGCTGTGGAGCCGTCTTCAGGTGTGAAGGCTCCACGGCC